TGGGAGCCGTCGGGCGCAGCGCTGAGGGTCTGAGAAATGTTTTTCTTCGTTCCGGTTTAACGCCAGAGGCAGAGACCCTCAAGCTTGAAAGACACCGTGCCTGGAAATCCTCCCCAGGAGCTCGTTCTTTACCTTCTAGTAAGCCTTTTTAAGTACGAAAGACTTCTTGGTGCCGCATAGATACAGTTTATTAAAATTGGTTCCTATCTTGCCCAAGTTCTCCCCTCATGGTTCCTGCAATATCCCAGAGTCCGTTATATACTTACAGATACACACACATGTGCCAGTCCAGGGGACTGCCTGCTTCAGTCTCCCTGTGTTTTCTGAACAACACAATCTTTTAATTAAGTAGTTTCACTCCTGAGATTAGGGGAAACCTCCCAGGTAGAATGTCTTAGTAAGAACATGAAATACCGTGTTGCTCGACCCGTGCTTACAGTTCAGCTCTGGAATAGTTTTGCAGCACCTCGGTATATTTTTTTTTTTTAGGGCATCTGCTTCCAGGAAGAGGAAAAAAGGAGGTCTCTTGCTAGAGCCAGATGAGAAAGAGGAAGAAAATGCTCAGCAGAATGAAGAGGAGGAAGAGGATAATGTAGAGCAGGTGGAAAGAAACAGAGAAGAAGAAGAAAAAAAGAAAGAGGATGCTCTTTGGGCCAGTTTCCTTAGCGATGTGGGACAGAAACCCAAAGTGGTGGCTGCCACGCAAGTGATGCAAGCTAAGAAGGTAACAGGGGCCTGGTCCTTCACCTGGGGGCTGTGGGATGGGCGTGAAGCTTTACAGCACACAGTGTTGGTTCAAGTTGGTACTAGATGTCAGTCAGAGCTGGGATGAGGCTGGGTTTACCCCTTCCCCATCTACCTTGTGAGCCTGGAGCCCCATCATGGGGCAAACTGTAAGCTGCTGGTTTCCTTCCAACTGGGGAGGTCTGTGATCTGGCAGTGCTGCTTTTGGAGCCACTTGTCAGGATCTTGAAGTGTCCCACGGAGCCCTGCTGGCTTCTCTTCTGGGTTCTGGATTCTCCTTGTGATGTAGGAGCACACAATGAAGTTTCCTCTGAGCTATGCTCATGGGCACAACTCTCTTCCAACGCTTGTGCCTTTCTTGATGTTCAAAAAAAAAAAAAGGGGGAGACTCTGTATGTGAGAGGGGAAACAGAAGAGACCTGTGCTGACATCTCTGTGCCTTGCCCTTCATTGTCATACAGGGAGGGGGATCTGGAAGATGCTGCATGTTGGGATGGACGTTTGTACCAAGAATGAATTTAGCTTTCTCTAGTTTTGTTTATAAGCCCCATTAACATGCTCTTGCTCTCTGTCTTCAGAGGTTTTCTGCAGAGAGAATTCTGTGTGTGATCAGCTATTTAAAATAATTTGGTTCATAATAAAACCAAATGCATGTGTTTGCTTTGCAAAAACCTTTCACACTGAAGGTGGTAGAGGGTTACCAAAACTGACCACCTTTGCTAGAATTGTCTGTCTTTTTTTGAGCGGTCAGCCAAAAAAGTATTTTGTAACAAAAGGCTGGACTCTTGACTCAGTGATGGCTGGTGAGTACAGTTCTCCTCACTGTGTGAAGCTGCTTTCTACAACTGTTGGAAGGTTGGAGAACGAGTGTAGTTGTCATCTTTGCTTGCGACTTTTATAAGAAAAGTCCTTTATCTGAACCTTCCTGCTTCTTTCCACCTCAGTTGTTACTGGCTGAACAGCTGAGATCATTACAGGTAGAATTAGAGAGAAGGAGAGAGGAAAAATTTTCTTCTGAGCAGTTCTACTTTTATGGCAGATTGCTAAAACATTCGTGGTCTTTTAAAGTTCCTCCATAACCTAGAATAATTTAGAGAGAGATGCAGTTCCTCTGTTCTCTTTGTGAACTTGGACTTAATTTGGACTTAAGTTGTCTGCTTGAAGATCTCTGCTGTGTGTGGTTGATTTAGAGCAAGAATTTTGTTTTGATAATTTATAGGGCCTGAGTTTTTATGTATGCTGTTAAAAGCTGTAGTTGTGACTGAGTAAATTAAGAGGTGTTGACACATTGCTTAATACAGATATTTCCTTCTCAAATTAAAGAGACGTTATTGCCAAGTAACTTAATATCTTCAGTGTTCTCTGTGAAGATCAGCCTTGCTTTTCCTGCTGGTGGGTTGTGTTCCTCTATATTCTTGAGTAAAAATAAACATATTTCTGTGTAATCCACCCCGGGGCCTGGTGGTGCTTAGTTTGGAAAAATGGAGTCTTCAGGCTTTTGTTTGCTTTTTGAACCACAGTGTATTCTTGCTCGTTCCTTCCTACGTTTAATTACAATTTCACTTCACTTTTTGGGTCTGTTTTGATCCTTGAGCTCCAATGAGAGCCTGGAACCGAAGTGGGGAATTTCCTTCTGGTGGCGGTGGCAGTTGTTTCCTTTTTCTTGTCTGTGGGTGACTTGCTTTGACCAGCCAGCCTACATTGCAGAGCTTCTTGTGGTCTGTGTTGGGTCTTCGGCCCCTTGGAGTGTGATAGTTCGTCTTGGCTCCACAAATGCATTGTTTTGTTTTCTCCTTCCCATGTTTCACAGGCTGAAGAAGAGAAAAGTGGGAACAAACTTCAGGAGAAACCAAAAGAGTCTGAGAATCCAAAAGATTCAGGAAAAGTGACAATCACCAAAGTGTTTGATTTTGCTGGTGAGGAAGTCAGGTAAGCTGGCAGATGTGATGTCTACTGCGGGCTCAGAGCAAAATGGGTGCTACGCTTCTGCTGGCAGGCCAGAGATGTGCTGTGAAGAAGGGTATATCGTCTCCTTTTTCCTTCATGCCTTTTTTTTTTTTGATCATGAGCATAGACAGACCTCAAGGAAAATGAAACTAAGCTTTTTCTACCTGAGGGCTGCTGCAGAGTATCCTTATATGTAGACCTCAGTCTCCGCTCGACTTCAAAACATGCCTGTAAATTCACTTAGGCTTCCCCATCTGGACAGTGTTTAAAATGGTTGGCAAAGCTTCCCAGCTGCACTGCTACTGTGAAGATTGAGAGAAGGAGAGAACCACGTATGGCCCCACAGGGATGACAGTAATGCATTTTATTCCTTCAGTCTATTCCAAGACCGGTGCTGGGGGCAGGATATTTGCTGGCACTTTCTGTGGGGGTGTGCACAGTCCACTACAAAGATCTGCAGGCAGTAAGAGGTGTTTTGCTCAGTGGACTAATAGCTGAGTGCTTTTACCTCTGAAACAGCTGCAACAAAGGTGATAGGCTAGGTAAAATCATCCTTTAGGCTGAGTTTGCCTTGCAAGATGCCTCTGAGGACGTGCTGGAAAAAGGGGCAGGTATTTTATAAATGTGTAAAACCAGAGCTGACGGGCCTGGGTGAACACACTTGAAATCTGAATGCACTGTGCCCTTGTGGTTATTACCATGGTGTACTTTTTTAAAAATAAGTATATGTACCTGTAAACCACGTTTCGTCAGATGAGAATTTTGCCTCTATTTTGTGTGACGGCAGAGGGCAGCAGTTCCCAGCAATAACACCCACGCTGCCTAAATCTGGAGGAGGCAGCAGAGAGCAGGGGCTTCCGGGGCTTCCGTAGCTCTTGCTTTTCATGTCAGCACTGCTGCCTGAGCTCTTCGAAAAATCTGAGGAGAGCCATGAGTCATAGTAGTGACTTTCCTATTTCTTTGCACAATCCAGGCTGTAGGAATACCCTTCATTCACTGGAGAAATGGCAAAGAACTGTACCACTGCAGCTTTTCTGAGAGAGTATTCATCATACCCTTTCTATGAAAGAAAGGCTAAGTCTTTCCCATGGACAGATAAAAATCTGTAGCAGAACTACAGACAGAAATTTCGTCTTCTGATGCACATGCTCCTCCTTGACTGCCAGCTTGTTTGTCCCTGTTTTTCCTGTGTTGGGGTGTGGTTTTTTTTTTTCTGGCTCAAAGGCGTTGTTCTACTAGGTGAGAATGGATGAAGCTATAGGATTGCAGGGCTGTCATACAAAGACCTTGTTGGGTTCTGATGTATCATCAGATGGCATATGGCAGAACTGCGTTCCTGGTACTTTGGGCTTTCATGAAATCGGCATAATCTTCTTTGGAGTCTGGACATGTCCATCTGTGTGTAGTAGATGTGTCATGTCCTAACATGAGCATCGAAGTGTATAATTTAAAGGAGGGAGTTGAGTTACAGGGAAGCTTGCCTTATAGGCTTACTTCAGAACATGAGTTTTCCACTTGTGGAAAGGAACATTTTTTTGGTGCATTTTTTTGTGAAGTAGGACCCTTTAAAGTAGGGAGCTAGTAAAAATGTCTGCCTTGCAGCTTTTTGTTTTTCTGTCTCTATGAAAAGAAGCCCCAGCTAATTATGATTTAAGCATAGAATTACTCAGATAATGGTCTGATTCTGGCATTCTAGATTTTGTGCGGTGGTTACAGATTAGCTTTACTAGTGCTGCTCTTGCTTTTATTAGTAACATTAGTTGGAGGAAGCTTTCTCTGGCCTTCAAAAAGTGGCTTGTCTTACGTGAACACAACTTGTTCAGGGCTCCTAAGATGCTGAGTTTGTGCTTTTGACACCAGTATCTTATCTGTAGGTTTTTTAAATAGCTATACCAAGTAAAGTTTCCACGTTAGATAAAGGCATATTTTTCTGCACCAGTTGCTTTTCTAGTATCCTTTGGACTGCTCAATACTGACTGTTTCCCTTGGGGAGCTGCAGAGGAATCAGTGTAAGTTTCTACTAATTTTTGAGCAAATAGGCAGAAGCTGGGGCCTGGGCAACAGTGAGATTGTAATCCTGCAAACCACCAAGGCTAATGTATTTTTTGTTTACAGCAATCGTTGTATCAACAGGTTACATATCCAGCAACAGAAAGTTTGCAGTGAAGTCTGGAGCACTGTTTTCTGCTGGTGCCGGACATAACATGCTACTTTCTTCAACTCTTTGATAACAGACAAATCCTTCAATGCTTATTGCCCCCTTGATTTTTGTGATATTCAAAGCTGAAGCTTTTGTGGTGTTTGCTACGTCTTGCATCTCTAAATGCGTTACACTGTTAACTGTGGGTGGGATATAGGGAGTTATCACTGCTTACAGCTACCGGTACTTTCCTGTAATGGCAGTAGGTGAGGGCCAGAGGACTGCTTTTTCTTTAGAATGGCAGGAGGTTATCTTTGCAGGACCCTGACGTCTGTAAATGCTCTGAATACCAAAGGCTGACTTCCTTGCCTGGGGAAGCAGCTGGCAAATTGTTGGTTACAAAGGACAGCACATGGTAGTTTTGTGTGTTCTGGACTGAAAGAACTGAAATGAGCGCGCTGTCTCTGTCGCTTTCCTTTCTAAATGGTTTGAGGCTACTTCTGAGTGTTGCTCTTTTGAAAGCTTGAGAAGAATTTAGATCAGTATTTAAACACTGATAGATTCAGGGCACAAATTTCTACAGTCTGCTCACTGAAGCTCTTAACAGAAGATCATTTATCCCTGATCTCGCGTTGCAGAACAATTTATTTTCTCCTGTAAGAAGATGGTATAATCTCTCTTGCATGGCTGGAGTAGCAAAAGTCTCTTTCAAGAGATCTCCATCTCCAGGGCTATACTGGAATAGTGAAAGACTTAGCTCTTTAAGCTGTCAACTCCCCTGTAGGCTATTGTTGCACTTAAGGTCCATTTTGATTAGTCTGTGCTTGTATTGGTTGCTAATGCTGAACTTTAGGTTCAGAGTATTATAAATCACCAATTACAAAATAAAGGATTAAGTTTAGTGGCTTTTAATTTTATGAAATACATTATTTAGTATTACCTTGTAATACCAAAGCTGTTGAATCCTGGAACTAGAAACAATCTTCTAACTGATTTCTGTGTTTTCCAATTGTGACTTTTCTGTCTGCTTTTCATTCTTCCCTGGTGTTAAATAGATTAGGAGCAGCAGGTGACTGTCACACAATGGCTGTAATTGTGGGCAGTGGGAGCGATTTGCAAAAGGCAGTTCAGCATCTAAATGGAAGTTCAAGTCATTTCTCACTGGCAGAGGAGACTGAAGCTCCTTTGAAGCCTCTGGTTTATGAACTTGCCTCACGATGCAGGACGTGTGGTTGCATTAATAGGGAATTGCATCCCTGGTGCCAGGGTTTATCTGTTGCAAAATGTAATTGCTGTATGATGAGGCTTGTTTTCTCTTTGGCACTCCAGACTACTTTGGCCCTTGGCTTTCTTCAAACTGCTGCTGTGCTCAGTGTATCAGAACAGATGTTCTGTGTTCCTTCCATGAAAGTTGACTTTGTGTCCATCCAGGACTGCAGCAGAATGCAGCTCACATAGGTGGAGCTGGCCCAGCCCTGTGGTGTCAGTCGCAGTCCGCATAAGAACTTGTGAGGGAACAGCAGGGTCAGGTCATTGAATGCCAGCAGCAGTAGGTTTTAGTTTGAAACCTCTTCTGTCTGCCTTCATTTGGCTTGTGGGAGGCCAAACGAAGTTGAGAGGAGTAATGGTGTCTGACTTGGGTGCTATTTCAGGAATGGGCAGCCTGTGTTCGACACCTTTTTTCCTACGTTGCAAATTCCAAGTAAAAGACTCAAAACTAGAAGCTGCATATTTCTGTGCATATGTGCTTTGTTTAAACGTGTCGTTTAAATCACAAGTTTTACACGCTCGCGTTATTCTTCTGGTGGGAATGCCTTCCTGGTACTGCAGAGGTGCCGTGCTGTACTGATAATGTTGTGTTGTGCTGGCAAAATGGTGGCTTGTGCTGCTGCAGTGACCCTCGGCCATGTCCCCGTGTGTGTGAACAAAGCAGCCAGGCTGAAGCGAAGCTGTGATGGGGCTCCACTCTCCATCTGTCACTGGGGAGAGCCCTGCTTTTTTCCTGAAATCTGGCAAGGCGTTCCTGTCACAGCTCCCTTTGCTTTCCCACAAGGCTGTCTTCTCCAAGAGTGTCAGTCTTGGATCCAGAAAGACTCCCAGCAAGCTGGGCAATGGCCTCAGACCTCTGCACTGTGGTCCCTTCCTGCTTAGTCATCACTCTGGTCGGTGGCAAATCACTAACTCCCTGGAGGCAATTGCTCTTGACCCCAAGAGGGCTTGCAGATTAGATTTTGCATTAACCCTTGAGGTTTTTTCTTGAGCTTCTTCACTGTGCTTGCACACTCTGAACCTGTTTCTTTCAGTGCTCACAGGTGTTCCTGTGATATGAGTAATCCTTGGCTTCTCTCCACATCTGGAGCCGGAACTGTCATGCAAGCCGCATGGCCGCTGGCAGCATGCTGGGCCTGGATCCATGTGGAAATGTTTCAGGAAGAGGTTTCAGGATCTGAGAGACCCAGTGTGAGCTCTCTTCTGCTGGGATAAACGAGTGCAAAGATCTAGCTGGTACTTTCTTGCACGCTGCACGTTGTCCTCTTGCCAAGCAGCTGATAAGTGCTGAAGGCATCGTTCTTACTGCTATGTCAGAAATTGCCAGACCACAGGGCCCTGAACCTGAAGCACTTACAGCCAGGGAGCTGGGGGTTTACCATGGATCTTGCATAACGAACGAGTAAATGTTTGTCCAGTGAACTCTTTGGTTACTTTCATATTTGAAGGCTGAGCAGATGTGTGAGGTTTTGCTGAGTTTGAAGCTCATCTGTTCAGGTTGAGCTCAGTAATCTTTATCTGCTTCTTAAGTGCCTGATTAATTCAGGCTGCTTCTGAAAGTATTCCTCAGTGT